CCGCTTTCGGCTCTTCTTTTCCTTCCTCTTTGCCCGCGCACTCCAACATCCAAGGCTGCGGGCGCAGCGCAGCGCGGAGCCCCCGCGACGCGCGCTGGTCGCCCCGGGCGGGGTCCCAGCGACGCGCGCGGGTCGTCCGCTGCGCCAAGCAGAGAGAGCTGACTAGCTAACTGGCTGGCTGATAGCGGGCAAGTCTCTGACCGCTGGGCAGAGCGACGACAGGCGAACGAGGCGCCGGGCCCCCCGCAGCACGGAGTTCCCGCGACGCGCGCTGGTCGCCCCGAGAGGGTCCCAGCGACGCGCCCGGGTCGTCCGCGGCGCGAGGCCAAACAATTAGTCGGGCAGTCGAGAGAAGGCGCAGCTCGGGGGAGACGCTCCTCAGGTCAGGCCTCGCGGATGAACTCGGTGAAGCCGAGCTCCCTGGCGAGGGCCGTCGCTTCCCTCCTGCGCCGCTTCGCGCGCGCCGCAAACTGCTCCAGCTGCTTCCGCAAGCCCTGCGGCGGCCCTGCCAGGAAGAACTCGACGCGCGGCGCCCGCATGAGCAGGAGGTCCTCGTGGCGCGTGGCGCGCGAGAGCAGCACGTAGAGCTCCAGCCACCAGTCGTCGTCCTCCTTCCTGCCGTTCCCTACCTCGTGGCGGCCGCAATCCAGGGTCACGCCTGGGCGACGTCGACCGAGGGAGCAGCGCGCCGGGCAGCCGACGGCCCAGGGCGAGAGTCCACAGGACCGAGAGATGGTCTGGCCGCGGACTGCTCGCGCCCGGAGGTCTGGCCGCCCCCGGAGCGCCGTTTCTCCGCCCCGTCGCCTTCGCGCATGGTGCGCCCCTGGCACGCCACCGTGGTGATAACCCTGCCGTGCGAGAAATGCAAGGGGGGTGCCGAAATGGGTGGGGGTGACGCATGCGGGCGGCGGCACTGAGACCTTCGGTGGAGCTCCCAATGGAGCCACGAAGCGTGTGAGGGGTGTGCCGAAATGGGTGTGGGTGACGCATGCGGCCGCGGGCACTGGGGCCTTCGGTGGAGCTCCCTATGGAGCCTCGAAACGTGTGAGGGGTGTGCCGAAATGGGTGTGGGTGGCGCATGCGGCCGCGGGCACTGGGGCCTTCGGTGGAGCTCCCTATGGAGCCACGAAACGTGTGAGGGGTGTGCCGAGATGGGTGTGGGGGACGCATGCGGCCGCGGGCACTGGGGCCTTCGGTGGAGCTCCCTATGGAGCCACGAAACGTGTGAGGGGTGTGCCGAAATGGGTGTGGGGGACGCATGCGGCCGCGGGCACTGGGGCCTTCGGTGGAGCTCCCTATGGATCCACGAAACGTGTGAGGGGTGTGCCGAAATGGGTGTGGGGGACGCATGCGGCCGCGGGCACTGGGGCCTTCGGTGGAGCTCCCTATGGAGCCACGAAACGTGTGAGGGGTGTGCCGAAATGGTTGTGGGTGACGCATGCGGCCGCGGGCACTGGGGCCTTCGGTGGGAAAACAGATAAGTAAAGGGCACAATGAAAAGAGGGGACAAAAAAAAGCTCCCTATGGATGCCACGAACCGTGTGCCACGAACGTGTGAAGGGGTGTGCGAAAGTGGGTGTGGCGTGAGACGCCAATGCGGGCGGCGGCACTGAGGCCTTCGGTGGAGCTCCCTATGGAGCCACGAAACGTGTGGGGTGTGCCGAAATGGGCGTGGGTGACGCATCCGGCCGCGGGCACTGGGGCCTTCGGTGGAGCTCCCTATGGAGCCACGAAACGTGTGAGGGGTGTGCCGAAATGGGTGTGGGTGACGCATGCGGGCGCGGGCACTGGGGCCTTCGGTGGAGCTCCCTATGGAGCCACGAAACGTGGGAGGGGTGTGCCGAAAGGGGTGTGGGTGACGCATGCGGGCGCGGGCACTGGGGCCTTCGGTGGAGCTCCCTATGGAGCCACGAAACGTGTGACGGGTGTGCCGAAATGGGTTTGGGTGACGCATGCGGGCGCGGGCACTGGGGCCTTCGGTGGAGCTCCTAGGGAGCCAACAACAACGAAAACGTGTGGAGACAGAGGGGTGTGGCCGACAGTGGTGGTTGGTGACGCATGCGGCCGCGGGCACTGGGGCCTTCGGTGGTAGCTCCCTATGGAGCCACGAAACGTGTGAGGGGTGTGCGAAATGGGTGTGGGTGACGCATGGCGGGCCGCGGCCAACTGGGCCTTTTCGGTGGAGCTCCCTATGGGGCACCACAAAGCGTGTGATGGGGTGGGCCGACAGGGGTGTGGGTGACGCAAAATGCGCATGCGGCACTGGTGCCTTCGGTGCGCTCCCTATGGAGCCACTAAACGTGTGAGGGGTGTGCCGAAATGGGTGTGGGTGACGCATGCGGGCGCGGGCACTGGGGCCTTCGGTGGAGCTCCCTATGCAGCCACGAAACGTGTGAGGGGTGTGCCGAAATGGGTGTGGGTGACGCATGCGGCCGCGGGCACTGGGGCCTTCGGTGGAGCTCCCTATGGAGCCACGAAACGTGTGAGGGGTGTGCCGAATTGGGTGTTGATGATGATGATGATGATGATGGGAGGGGGGAGGAGGCAGCGGGAGGAAGGAAGGAAGGAAGGAAGGAAGGAAGGAGAACGCGGGGCACCGTCTCTTCAAAACGAGGACCCAACACCACAGGATGGTTGGGGAAAAGTCAGGTCAGCCCATTCTCTCACATCCCTCCCCTTCGAGGCTGGAAACAGGCGCTCGGTGAAGGGGGGGGGTAACTACATGATCTGCTGCGCGCAGCCGCTGTTCCCGGCGCGGAGTGGGGGGCGCGAGAGATGTGCCCACTGTCGGGGCTGGAAGCACCCTTCGTCCTGCCCCTTGACCTGACCACCTTTCGTCTAGCCCCTTCTGCAGAAGAAACAAAAGCGCCATGATCATAAATTTTTGGCGCTCTGGGCGGATTTCTTGGATCCGCGCTGGGCCCCCCTGGTGGCGCCTCCAGCGCCGCCCCTGGCGCCTTCGATTCTGCCCGACCTCCGTCTGCCTCAGACACCTTTCGACCCCTCCCCCGGGGTGCCAAGAAGCCCTCCTTGAGGACCTGGCCCCGGTCCCCCCGCTGGGCCGCGATCTCCGCAGAGTCCCTGATGTGACGACGGCAGCTATACATCGACAACGATGCTGGCTAGGCCAGTAATGGGCCCAAGATCGGTGTACGGCAAGTTCGTGTCATGACGATCTGGGCGTGGGTTCCTGACACCGGACGGAGCGCTCAACCTGGAGCCATCGCGGATTTCCCGTCACGCAAATCTCCCGAAACCGGTCTATTCAAGGCCGCTGGCGTCGCTCAACCTTGAACGCCCGCGCTGGTGTCGCCGCCGCGTCAACGCCTCCTATCTTAGCCAGGGTGTGTAGTATATACGCCGACCTCGGGCCCCAAGATGAGCCTGGTCTCAGGTCGGGCATGTCCTTCTACAGGTGGATTTCGGAAGAAATGCGCGATACTTAGCCGACAAATATTCAAAAATAGTCATACTCGAAAGTCGTCCCCAGACTATTGTTTGACAATTTTGGAATATTCCCTCTGTAGAGGGACATGCCCGACTGAAGCCTGGCCAAGGTCGGTGCCGGTGTCTGGCCGCAGCGGCCCGGCCTGAGCAGCTGCGCGTAGTAGCAGCGCAGCGTGTCCGCGCCCGTGGTGCCCCCCCATGCCCCATCTCGAGGAGCCGGCGGCCCACCAGATACATTCTTTTTCTCTACGCATCGTCTTACGTCCTGCACGGATCCCGTCCAGGGCGTGCGGCGATCAAGACGCTGCCACGCGCCACAGGACCTCCCTCGCGTCGTGAGACAACCGAGGATGGCACATATGCTCGAAACTTTTCTGGCATCCAGGAGCGCTTGCAGGGAAAGCCCCGCGGCCGCCAACCTGCGCCTCGAGATGAAAGCCCATTCCCGGGGAAAGGGGTCGCCGTCCGTGATGAACCCTTGGCGCAGGAAGCCCAATGTGGGGATGTAATGGTTCAACTTTGCTTCCGCTGGCTTCCGCCGACCTTCCGCCAACGGAGCCGCTCTCGTTTTCCTTCTGCTGGCTTCCGCCGACCGCCCACAGAAGGCTACAACAAAAAGACGGTCCCCAGACATTTCGATGATGACGACGACGAGAACGACCTCCCCAGAAATCCATTTCCCCCCCATCGTCATCGTCATCGTCATCGTCATTGTCATTGAAACCTTTGGAGACCTCTGGAGATCCCCAGCGGCCCCGGGAGGCCCCCAGAGGCCCGCGAGGGCCCCTGGAGACCTCCAGAGGCCCACAGAGGAGGAACATGTCAAACAACGTCGAACACTTAGACCTTCAGTCCGCGACCCTCGATCCCGCTTCTCCGAAGGCGGGACTCTGTCGGGAGCGCCCCATGTGGCGGACTCTGGAAACCCTGAACCCAAAAATGCTGTCATCGCTTGGGGACGCATTTTTTACGTCCGCCATGTTCCGCCGCTGCCCTTCCACGGGCTTCCGCCGGCGAAGGCGGCCTCGTTCTTCTGCCGCCCGTCCGCCGCCTTCCGCAGAGGAAGAGACGACAACCGATTCGATCCTCGAAGGCAAGGGCCTATTTGGAACGCCTCGTATTGTCGCGTTCGGGGTACAGCCGAGACGTGACCACAAGCACGCTGGTCAAGAGCGTGAACCCCCTCGCCTCGAGGGCCCAATGCCCCCATGGAGATGCCCAGAACGAGGAGCACTCCGAGGTCAAGAGCCAACTTGCCATCGCTCGGACGCCCGGTCCCCGAGCATTTTTTCTGGCTTCGTGCACCTGTTCTTTCGCAAGAGGACCCAAAATGCTCCTCGAGGATCCCCGCCTGGAAACCATGCACACGTCCGAGCGATGCCAAGCCAAACGGCGGAGAACGTCAGGGGACCCCTCCAAGGCTATGGTTGTTCTTAACCACTGTGCCAGCTATCTATGTATATGTTTACACAGATATGTACATACACACATCGATATAAGTAGGTTATAAACATACATCTATATACTCTTGGTTGTTTTCTGGCCCCCTGGTC